GCACTAAAGAAACTTTGGGACTCATTGCCCCCCTCAAAGATAATTTGTGCCGAGGAAAAGCTTTGGGCAAATGTCCTTATTATTGCACATCATCCCAGTCTCTGAGCAGAGCGAGATTCCAGGCGTTCCCGGCTTTCGCTCGGGGTTGATGTTTTCCTTTGGGAATAAGGCACAACAGAGACTGTGGAGTCTAATTTAGATTTATTTACGCACATTTACAACCTGAGCCTATGATGGAGGGTCTCCTTTCTTCCATAGCTGCAGCCTTGGATCCCAGCCGAAAGCAAACGCTGTACAATGCCTCTGCCTTTTCCGGCCTGCAAGCTGGAATAACGACTATTCTCATTATTAAAAGATCACAAACAGATGTAGTGATCTCATTGCACCACAATGGCTGGTTCCTGCTAGACATTTCTACCGGACATCTGTGGCCTCCCCGTGTTTTTCTTGACATGTGTACCAGAGTATGTCAGAATATTGCAATCTCAGCTGCCAGTCTCCCTCTACAGTGGTACCTTAGTTCTCAAACATAATCCATTCCGGAAGTCCGTTCCAAAACCAAAGCATTCCAAAACCAAGGCGCGCTTTCCCATAGAAAGTAATGCAAAATGGATTAACCGGTTCCTGACTTTAAACAAGAACCCCTAAAACAGCAATTTAACATTAATTTTACTATCTAACGAGACCATTGAACCATAAAATAAAAGCAATAAACAATGTACTGCAGTCACACAATCAATCAATCAATCAATCAATCAATCAGTAGCTGAACTGGGTTCCACACAGTGGAAAAGAGCCTCAAAAACAAAACGCAAAATAAATAGCAAAAACAGGCAGACCTCAGCATAACACTCAAAATGGAAGTGTGGCACTCAAATCGGAAGCGTAACACTCAAAACGGAGCACGTTTGGCTTCTGGAAAAAGTTCACAAACCAGAACACTTAACTTCCAGGTTTGCCCTGTTTGGGTTCCAAGTTGTTTGAGTACCAAGGCATTTGAGAACCAAGGGACCACTGCATTAGCTTTGGGCAGGGGTCGGCAAACTAAGGCCCTCGGGCCGGATCAGGCCTAATTGCCTTCAGGATCCGGACCACGGACTGTCCATGGATTGGCGTGGGGATTCTGATCGTTTGGGCTGGGCCATTTCTCTCCCTCACACGCATCACGGTGCCGCCTCCTCCCTCCCTCCTCCTGGCTTCTCCCTGCCCTGCCTAGAGGAGGAAGGGGGCTGGGCTGAGCTGGCTAAACGCCATTTTAAGCAGCCCATCTCCGGAGCCAGCCCTTTTGCGCTGCTCATCTTCCCTCCGCCACCTCCACCCTGGTGCTCCTGTGGGCCAGAGAGCGGAGTGGACGAGCTCCCTCTGCCTACCCACGAGAAGCGATGAACAAGAATATTAATTGTGTGAATAATTGTCGCCTATGTGCCGTATGGGTTGCACAATCATCATTAACAACACCGGTTGTATTTCTTCAGTGTTACCCACAAGAAGCAGCAGCGGTGATGGTGGTGGCAGCCCCTGGGAAGGTAAGCTCAGTGGCTGGGGGTGGGGAGGAGGACTACCTGCCCCCCTCGCCTCTTCTTCCAGCCCCCCCCCCGGTGCAGCTTTTCTGGCCTGTCACAAGGTCTGAGGGACAGTGGACCGGCCCGCGGCTAATTTTTTTTGCCAGCTCCTGGCTTTGGGGTATTCCACCCCCCCAAGCCTGCCTTCTCATCCAGATATCACATACTCACAATTTCACTTTTTCCTGATCTCATCAGGTACATTCAGCAATGAGAAATGTTTGTGCGCTGCAACATCTGCATTGCAAAACCTGCCCTTTCCTGTCTCTGCCAGTGACTATGAATCATGTTCCGTTTAACTTTTCAGTTCGCAGAGCCTGATGGGTGTGTGTCTCAGGGTCCCACACTGAACATCTGTGATACTAAAATAACATCATAGCTGTCGGCTTTTAACAATCCCAGTAATCTTCCATTGCCAGCTTATTATGCCCCGTTACCTAGGCCAGCCTAATTTCAGCTAAATCCGTTTACAATTCAGCCTTTTCTCCCTTGCTATAAGCATTTTAAAGCGACAATCATTTAAAGCACCTTGATAATGGACAAGCTGACTATGGATCTTATTTCCCTCTCTTTATAACCCTTTCCCTGCCCCTGCCTGGTGTGAGCTCCTATCTGGTGGCAGGGCGAGGGCTGGAGGAGTTTACTCTGCCCCTGTCTGAGGTCCTTGTGCTCAAACCTGCTCCGGGCTCCAGCAAACACCGCTACGCCCCTGTCGTGAGAACATCGAGTTGCTTGACTAGACGGGTCTCCTTTGGGCTGATCCAGCAGGCAGGCTCACCTGATGTTCTTATGCACTGACTCAGCTCAGAAACGCATGAAGGGGCTGTGATAGGAATTTTATGGTCTTAGATATATGTTAAATGTTCATAAGTGTACCAACCAAGCCCATACATAGATCAGCACAGGAAGAACGACCTGGAACCATTTGGATTCCCAAACTGACCAAATGTTTTCTCTGCAAGGTCAAAGAAAAATGGAAAAGCCTCCCCATTGTCTTTTCCTTCACAAATCCTGTCTTAAGGGTATGTCTGTGTTTGAATAGGGTGTGAGCCTGTGACCTGGCCCAGGAACTAAGTATTTATCACTACAAAAGCGTGGCCAGGCTTCCCAGGCAATCCAATCAAGTAACTTGCCAGACAGGAGATAAACAACGACAGGAGAAAAACAACATTCAAATTTTCTGTTTTAGACCGCCTTTTCTGTGATGTAGGTATGATGTATCTGAGGGGTGGTCTTAGGTTACACCCCTTCTGTGAAGTATGTATGACGTTTCTGGGGGTGGTCTTGATCTACAGGGTGGGAATTTCAAAAGTCTTTATAAGGCCTTGCATGCCATTTTTCTGGGTTCTTCCTCCTCTCCTGCAGGTGAGAGAAGCACCCTGTTGCAACAGATCAATAAAGATCAAGCTTACTAGCTGCTTTGCTTCCCAATATTCTCTGGTTGGCCTCTCTTATTTTCTCCTACCAATAGGGAACCTACGTAAGGACTCTATACGGGCTCCTGGGTACCCCATAAGGGAAAAGGGCAGATTTTTGTTTACAACAGGGCCAGAGGAGGGTGGGAGCAAATGCTGCCCAAAAGAAAGGGTGCTGTGCAAAGGTGCTGAATGCAGATCTTGAGCAGGAGGCTGCAGAGACAGAGCCTTGTTTTCCTTCGATGTTTGAGACAGGCTTCTGCTTGCACTGAATGACAGGCTTTTGAGAGCGTCTTAGAAAAGAGAGGCTTAGTCGCAGAGAGCGAATGTTAGCTGGAGCATTCAGGAAGGCATCCTCTGTCGCTGGAACGAGACTATCAATCAGCCTATCAATCAGCACGACTGAACCTGCATCTCACGGATCACAGAACCTTTTGTTACAGAAAAATCTAGGTGTGAGGCTGCTCAGTCCCCCAGCTGGTCGGGCAGAGCCCACGGGTCCCTGCGGAATAAAGGAAGGAGTCCAGCCACCAACCGGAGCAAATAGCTGTGGACCAAAGTTTATTGTGCAACAGGTTCAAAAAGGAATTTTGAACCTCAAGGATGGGGTGACAAAGACTTTTAAAACTTTCCCACCATATCCCAGAATACAGTTTGTACAGCATCATTGCTATATCACTGCTACATCACTGACATGTCACAAAAGGGGAGGGGTAGACAGGGGTGGCGCTGTGGGTTAAACCGCAGAGTCTAGGACTTGCCAATCAGAAGGTCAGCGGTTCGAATCCCCATGATGGGGTGTGCTCCTGTTGCTCGGTCCCTGCTCCTGCCAACCTAGCAGTTGGAAAGCACGTCAAAGTGCAAGTAGATAAATAGGCACTGCTCCGACGGGAAGGTAAACGGCGTTTCCGTGCGCTGCTCTGGTTCGCCAGAAGCAGCTTAGTCATGCTGGCCACGTGACCCGGAAGCTGTATGCTGGCTCCCTCGGCCAATAAAGTGAGATGAGCGCCACAACCCCAGAGTCGGCCACGACTGGACCTAATGGTCAGGAGTCCCTTTACCTTTAGACAGGGGTTACACTAGTTTAACCTTGGCAAACGTGTCCAGACAAGTCCTTGGTACAAGATTAGCATAAGCAGACATGTCAGGGCAAGACCCAGGTATCAGATTAGCATAGGCAAACACCTCTGAAGTCCCACCACCCAAAGTACAATAGAACTTCCTTTGCATGTCTGGCCCCTTGGCAAGTCTGGTGATGGGATTAGGCTTTCCTTGGCTAACAATCGGCAATTGTCACCTCTGGGCACTTCCTGGAGTCCTTTTTCAAGGGGGAAATAGCTTTGGAATGGAGGAAACTGGCAAAGGAGTGGATTTTATATGATTGTTAAAGCTAGGTAACTTCCCTGAGCTGTCAAGTTGAAAGGATACATTCACGCGTAATATTTGTAACATTTAACAACTTTAAAGATGTGGCTCCCCCCTAATTTCTGTAACACTTTAAAGATACCCAGCAGAAACTGTTCCTGTTCTTTAGCAGCAGAGAGAGAGAGAGAAGCAGTTGGCAGAGAGGTGTTTGCAAAGGGAAGGATGCAGCCCAGGGCACAGAATAGCACCCCCAGCTCAGGCTTTATACTGGAACAGACCAGCCCAGTATTGCCTGCAGTGACTGACAGCTACTTTCTCAGGTCTCGGGCAGAGATGGGCCTTTCTCCTTCATGCAGAATATACCGTATTTTTCGCTCTATAGGACGCACCAGACGATAAGACGCACCTAGTTTAGGGGGGGAGGAAACAAGAGAAAAAAAATTCTGAATCCCAGAAGCCAGAACAGCAAGAGGGATCTGGCTTCTGGGATAGCCTCTTGCTGTTCTGGCTTCTTGGATAGCCACTGAAGCCTCTCCCGGGCAGCGGGATGAAGGCTCCCCCTGCCCGGAAGAAACTGCGCGCGGCTAAGCTGCCCTCTGTTCCTTCCCCCATCTCCTGCAAGAACTGCGCCCTCTTTAAAGGGAGCGTGGTTCTTGGGGGCTTTTCTGGGAGGTGGGGGAAGGGACAGAGTCGCATGCTCTGTCCCTTCCCCCACTTCCCGCAAGAGCCGCGCAAAGCCTCCACAGGACAGTAGTTCAGTTGGAACTCACTCCCACAGGAAGCACTTACGTTCTTTAGCAGCCGATGCTGCGGATGTTGCAGTCTGCTGGGTCCTCCTTAGCCACTCACCCAGAAGCCACTGGTAGACCCAGGGAGAATTCTGGCAAGGGCTGCGGGTAATGATTCTTCTCCAATGTCAGATTTACTCTCGCTGTCAGCAGCGAGTTGCTGGGCAAAACGGCAACTGTGAGAACATTCAAGTCGTGACGCCTTTATTTTATTTTTATTTTATTTTTTCAGGAGCCTTCCTTCGGCTTGATTTTTTTAAAAATAGTTTTTATTGATTTTCTTTTCTCATAACAAATATCCAATAACATTACTTAACATTCATTTTCCAATTTCCCCCCTCCCTGTGACTTCCCCCAACTTCCATTTCTGGTTTATTACGTCAAATGTTACATTCTGCTTTTTGTACATAATACTATGTTATCACCTGTTATATTTCTTGTTCTCTGTAAATAAAATTGTAAATGTTTATTTAAATTCTTCCAACGAGTCCATGTTTGTTTGTTTTTTGTTTCTACAAATAAGTTGTAAATGGTTCCCATTCTTTTCCAAAATCACTATTGTCCTTTTCACACAGTTTATCTGTTAACTTTGCTAACTCTGCATAGTTCATCAACTTTTCTTGCCATTGTTCTTTCGATGGTGATTCTCCAGTCTTCCAATTCTGTGCTATTAAAATTCTTGCTGCTGTTGTAGCATACATAAACAATGTCCAATTTTCTTTTGGCAATTCTTGTCCTAAAATACCCAACAGAAAGGCTTCTGTTTTTTTAACAAAGTTTATTTTGAACATTTCCCATTTTTTAATGATCTTGCAATCCCACCACATATGGTAACATGTACCTTCCCCTTCTTTACATCTCCAACAATTCATTGTTCTGTTGTATACATTTTTGCCAGTTTTAATGGTGTAATATACCACCTATACATCATTTTCATGTAATTCTCTTTCAACTTCATGCAATCCGTAAATTTCAAGTTCACTTTCCAAAGCCTTATCCAATCCTCAAATTGTATGTTGTGACCTAAATCTTGTGCCCACTTAATCATTACTGATTTGACTTCCTCATCTTTACTTTTCTGTTCCATGACACCTTTATTTTGAGCTTCCAATCCCTTTTCTGTGCGTGACGTCCAGTGAAGCTGAATGCTGCAAGATTCAGGACAGATTAAAGGCGAGACATCTCCATGCAGTGCATCATTTAAAGCCCTTCACGGCCTAGGACCCTCGTACCTACGGGACCGCCTTTCCCGGTATACCCCACGGAGGACCTTAAGGTCCATAAATAGCAACACCCTAGAGTTCCCTGGCCCTAAGGAAGTCAGACGAGCCTCAACCAGAGCCAGGGCCTTTTCAACACTGGCTCCAGCCTGGTGGAACGCTCTGTCTCATGAGACCAGGGCCCTGCAGGATCTGATTTCTTTCTGCAGGGCCTGTAAGACAGAGTTGTTCCGCCTGGCCTTTGGCTTGGGATCAACTTGATTCCCTCCCCCTCTTTCCTTTTTCCTTTCTCCTCCTGTGATGGAACTCCTATTTGGGGACTTCCCTGGCTTTTTTCTGGCCCATGTAGGACCAGTCTGGATAGTTGGCCTTGGTGAAGACTTGACGTTTTCTCCCCCGAAACAGTTTTTGATCTGGGCTTCCACTGAAATGAGGCTGCATTTTAAGTTGTATTTTAATCCTGTTTTTAAGCTGTATTTTGATCAATTATTTTTATACCTGATGTTAGTTGCCCTGAGCCTGAGCCTGGTATTGGCTGGGGAGGGCGGGGTATAAATTATTATTATTGTTGTTGTTGTTGCTATCATCATCATCAGTAACCCATGGAACTCACACCCACAGGATGCAGGGATGGCCACCAACTTGGACGGCTTTAAAAGAGGATTAGACAAATTGATGGAGGAGGAGAGAGCTGTTGATGGCAGCTGGGCAGGATGGCTCTGCTCCACAATCGGAGGCAGCAATGTGTCTTGATTACCTGTTGCTGGAAAAAAACAGGAGGGGAGAGTTCCTCTGGTTCTGGGGTTCTCCTTCCCACAACCATCTGGTTGGCTACTGGGAGAACAGGATTGCTCCCTTCCCGCTTGTGATCCCTTCTTCTATTCACTTCATCCTAAGTGTCTTTTTGCTATTCTAGCTTCAATTTCCGCCAGTGCCATCAATTACAAACGTCCTTTGGTCCATTCTCAAGCACTGAATATGCATCAGCTCATAATTCAGCAATTTGGAGAGATGCAGACCATCTCGGGCTCATTCCGAGTCTGTCCCTTTGACACCCCGGCATCCTTATGGACTCTGGGCATGGATGAACTATCTCCGGAACTGATTACATTCCTCAAATTATTATGCTGCTGAAGTTTCTCCATTTCCCCCTTCCCTCAGCAGTTTTCCTGGGAAAGTCTTCACCTCCCTCTTCGGTCGGGGAAATGATGAAACTCGGGTCACCCTCGATTTTGGACAACCCTGGCTGCAACTCCTCCTTTTGCTCTGCTATGTTTAGCTTGGAGAGGATGGAGAGGGAGTATGGCAGTGTTGTAAAGAAAAATTGCCCTTTTCCCTTATGGGGTATCCAAGAGCCCATATAGAGTCCTTACGTAGGTTCCCTATTGGTAGGAGAGAATAACAGAGGCCAACCAGAGAATATTGAGAAGCAAAGCAGCTAGTAAGCCTGATCTTTATTGATCTGTTGCAACAGGGTGCTCCCCTCACCCTCAGGAGAGGAAGAGGAAACCCTGAAAAATGGTGCACAAGGCCTTATAAAGCCTTTTGAACTTGCCACCCTGTAGATCAAGACCACCCCCAGAAACATCATACATACATCACAAAAAGGCGGTCTTAAAACAGAAATTTGAATGTTGTTTATCTCCTGTCTGGCAGGTTACTTGATTGGATTGCCTGGGGAGCTTGGCCACTCTTTTGTAATGATAAATACTTAGTTCCTGGGCCATGTCACAGGCTGACACCCTATTCATATCTTAAATGTGCCCTTAAGACAGGATTTGTGAGGAAAGAGACAATGGGGAGGTTTCCCACTTTGACCTTGCAGAGAAAACATTTGCTCAGTTTAGGAATCAAAATGGTTCCAGGACACGGAAGCGGACACGGAGCAATGGAATCCACCTAAACATTAGGAAGAACTTCCTGACAGTAAGAGCTGTTCTACAGTGGAATTTGCTGCCAAGGAGTCTCCTTCTTTGGAGGTCTTTAAGCAGAGGCTTGACAACCGTATGTCAGGAGTGCTCTGATGGTGTTTCCTGCTTGGCAGGGGGTTGGACTCGATGGCCCTTGTGGTCTCTTCCAACTCTATGATTCTATGATTCTATGAATGTTGTTTTTCTCCTGTCGTTGTTTATCTCCTGTCTGGCAGGTTACTTGATTGGATACCCTGGGAAGCCTGGCCACTCTTTTGTAGTGATAAATGCTTAGTTCCTGGACCAGGTCACAGGCTCACACCCTATTCAAACACAGACATACCCTTAAGACAGGATTTGTGAAGGAAAAGACAATGGGGAGGCTTTTCCATTTTCCTTTGACCTTGCAGAGAAAACATTTGGTCAGTTTGGGAATCAAAATGGTTCCAGGTCGTTCTTCCTGTGCTGATCTATGTATGGGCTTGGTTGGTACACTTATGAACATTACCATATATCTAAGACCATAAAATTCCTATTACAGCAGCCACCTTCATATATCCAAAGGTGCTTTCACATTAAAATGCAAAAGGAATGAAATCCCTTCTCCATTCCTCATTGGTGGCTCAATTCATGCTTGGGTGGGTGTCTATGGGCAAGGACTAGTGGCTTCTGGGTGTGGCCTTGGTGATCTTATAGCTCCTCCAAGCAGTGCCGGATTTACATATAAGCTAAACAAGCTTAGGGCCCCACTCTCTTGGGCCCCCCCAAAAATTTACTATTAATATACTTCTTCTTAATTGTATTTCAGTTCAACAATTCCTTGGATAAAATACATATTTTGTTATGTGCAAATGGCTTGAGATACCTATTAGGTCCATAAATGACCATATAGCATATCTTCAACATAAAAAACAGCGACCATTTGTTGTTGACAAAGGACAGTTGGACATATAAAGGGCCCCATTACCTTCAGTAGCTTAGGACCTCATCAAACCTAAATCCGGCCCTGCCTCCAAGCCAGAAGAGAAGTAAGCATGCCTCTCCTGGTCTGCCCCGCGGAGGACCTTAAGGTCCACAAATAACAACACTTTGGAGGTCCCAAGTCGCAAGGTGGTTCGACTGGTCTCAGCTAGGGCCAGGGCCTTTTCAGCACTGGCCCCGACTTGGTGGAACGCTCTGTCACAAGAGACTAGGGCCCTGCGGGACTTGACATCTGCAGGGCCTGCAAGACAGAGCTGTTCCGCCTGGTCTTTGGTTTGGACTCAGTCTGACCCTTATGTTTCCCTCCCCTTATGGTTCTATGGGCTATTATTAAAATGAGGCTGCATTTTAAATTGTATTTTTAACCTGTATTTAAAAAATAATAATTTCCCCTCCCCTATTATGTTTTTATTGTAATTTTACTGGTGTTAGTCACCCTGAGCCTAGCTCTGGCCAGGGAGGGCGAGGTATAAATAAAATTTTATTATTATTATCATTTGGGGGAGAGAGAGGAAGGGGAAGAAAGACAGGCATATATATATATCTATATCTGTATCTGTATCTGTATCTGTATCTGTATCTGTATCTGTATCTGTATCTGTATCTGTATCTGTATATCTGTATCTATATCTATCTCCCTCCTCTCTTAAAATCCACCTTGATTGCACATCTTTACTTTAAAGAGATCCTAGGGAAATTGAGATGTCTTGCAGGAGTGATGTCTGCAACTTCCATCCAAGAGCATTAATGGCCTGGTGGTCTGGTGCAAAGTGGAAACCATCCATCTGACCTTCGCTAAAAGCCCATTTAGTGGAGGAGAAGGACCTTCG